GCACTCAGTGTCTACTCGTTTTCATTCACTCCTTCTAGTGAACTGAATTAGTGACCTAATGTAGGGAATAGTGAATGAGGGTATAGAGGGCGATTTCGGACACAGCCCTAGAGTTTAGCTCAAACCCCAATCAAACAAACCTGGAACAAGCGAATCAATCATGTGATCTCAACATGTCTGTCTACACAAGGCAACCCTCTCCACGTCATACAAATCCGCTCAAATAATAATATTAATTTCTGAAAAGGTCAACATTTCAATCAGGACTGAGCTCCGCTGAGAATGAAACTGACCTGTTTGTTCCTCAGACGCTTCGTGTTTCACTCTAAATGCTTCTTCAATCTTGATGTCTTCGCTCTCCTCTTTAATAAACATCCTCTTTACAATATCAGAGATTTCAGTCATTTCACCTGGTGTTTTCTGCCTGTTTGGACACTCTGTCAAAGGAGTAAGATGAGAATTATTAACAGAAAGAAATATAAACACAAAGTACTAAATCTCTGAACCATGTCTCGATTGCCTCCCTAGACCAGAAGTCAGGAGTCAGTCAGAACAATAATGGCCTGATTAAAATAAAAACTAAAATATGTGTTTGTCATATTTATTTATATTGAACGCTACTTTTTATATACGTGTAATGTATATGTGGTACTTAATTATAGTAGATCTCATTTAATCGTTTTGACATTCACGACAGCGTTTGTGGTTTGTTTGTAAAAGCTGCCAGTCATTACACGTTAATGTTTGTGTTCTCACTTGTGATTTCATCAAGCGGACATTCGAGCGCTTAAAATCAGCGAATCACTTTGGGAAACATTTGGTTCAGCTTCGTTTCTCCATCACTACTTCACAGTGATCGAATGATTCTTTACGTTAAACTGATTCACGATATATGGAGAAATGAGACGCGATTTATCTGTTCAACATGTGCGGATGTGCTTTACTTACAAAAAAATAAAATAACAATACGTGCATTACCGTTAGAATCACTGCAGTGTTATATTCAGTAATAAACTTTACATCGTTTGTAAAAGCTATAACATAAACAGAACGGTTTGTATCGACCTTCTTCTTCTTCTTCTTCTTCTTCTTCTTCTTCTGGTGTTTTATGGCGGTTTGGCAAACCAGCGAAAGAAATTCTATTATATAATCCCGTGTCCTTTAAATAACGCATTAAAAATTGAAAGTTTTTATCCCCTGATTTATTCCCCAAAATGTTCATTAAATTCAGTTTTTCTTTATTTTCCTTGAGGACATCCATCAGTATCTTTCTTTCCTTTCCGTATCTTGGACACTTCATTATAACACGCTCTACATTTTCCTCCATATTACAATAATCACATTTTCCAGTTTCATGTCTCCCCCTTCTCTTCAAACTGCTATTAAGAGCAGTATGGCCAAATCTAAGCCTTGAGATTATAGTTTCCTCATGTCTATTTCTTCCTGTTACTCTGTACTTACCAACAATTCTTTGAATGCTATAAAACCATCTCCCTGTTCTTTCTTCTTCCCAATATTTCTGCCATCTATTCTTCACATGTTGCTTGATTAAACACTTAATTTCACTCTTACCATACTTTATCTGCATATCTATGTCTACTTTCTTTGTTGCTTCCTTTGCATATTCGTCTGCTAACTCATTTCCTTTTACTCCCACATTCTTACCGTACTTTATCTGCATATCTATGTCTACTTTCTGTGTTGCTTCTTTGCATATTCGTCTGCTAACTCATTTCCTTTTACTCCCACATGTGCTGGTACCCAACAGAAAGCTACATAAATTCCCATCATCTGGATCCTATATATTGTTTGAAGAATCTCAATCATTATATCTGCTCTGCTCTCTGAATGACATGTTTTAATTGTAATTAAAGATGAACTTGAATCAGAACATATGAGTGTCCGCTTTGGCTTATTTTCCTCCACCCATTGCAATGCCAATAAAATTGCAATCATTTCACCAGTGTAAATTGACAAATTATCTGTGATTCTTTTACTGACTTTGACATTAAATTCTGGGATACTAAATGCCACACCTACTTTGTCTTCCATATTTTTCGATGCATCAGAATATATTTGAACATAACCATAATAATTTTCATGAATGTACTTATGTGCTATTTGAACATTTGATTTGAACTTATCCTTATTTTCCTCACTTAACAATGTCATATCTACCGTAGGTTGAGATATTAACCACAGAGGGATTGTTGACCACGGAACTGTAGGGCTTATTGGAGTTTCACCAATTTCCATATCTTTTACCACAATACATTTTTTGTTTTTTTCAACAGAGAATCTAAAACCCCACTTATATGACCCCCTTTCTACTTCTGTGATTGATTCTTGCACTTTCCTTGCAACAAACTCTAAACTCCTCCCTCGTTTCCAGAATGCACCATCATCTGCATAAAGAGAAATTCCTATTCCTTTTTCAACACTTATCGTGTAGATATGTAATGTACTGCGTTAGACTTCACTTAGACCAAGTCGTTAGGCTAAGTCGCTGTGGATAAAAGCGTCTGCAAAATGATAAAATGTAAATAAAAATATGAATTTATTCGAGACC